AATTTCTTTTTTTCTCGTTTTTTATTAACATTAGGTTTTATACAGCCGGACAAATACAGTTGTGATCAATTGACAGAACCAGTTGATGGTGTATATCAATTCGCAACAGTTGACTCAAATAAAAATGGACGTAATTTTAACAAACGTTTTTGTTACTTTGCAATAGATGGTAGGGCATGGACCGTAATACAGGTAATGAAAGTAGAGTTCATTAAACTGTGAAATATGCATATATAAATAAGAAAATTATCCTTTCATTAGAATCGTGTTTCTTATGATAATTCAGAAAATTTTAATCGATCTTGGGTTGATTATCGAGCTGGTTTCGGCAGCTTATTTGGGAACTTCTGGTTTGGTAATGAATTTATATACCGCCTGTGTGATTCTTGTGATTGTGAATTACGTATAGAAATTGAGGACTTTAAGAATGATAATATATGGGCAGAATTAAAAAAGTTTATTTTACAAAGTGAAGATTCACACTATAGACTTGTCATTAGTGGCTATAATGGTACTTATAGTAAATTGGGTAATGAATTATTCGAATATGAAAATAATGAATTCCAAACATATGATCGTTGCAACAATGGAACTCCAAATGAATGTTGTTCCTGTGCAATTGTCTATGGAATTGGTTGGTGGTTTGATAAGTAAGTATTGAATATGTTTTTACAACATTATATTGTAATTATATTGTAAATTAATTATTTAATACTATAATAACTATTATTTACTCACTTTGCTTAATAGTTGTTGTCAACCAAATATAATGGAAGTTCCTCGTATTTTTTCGCAGAAGAAAATGAGAATGATGATACGTCCAAAATATTGAAATATCAGAACTATCAGAAATACCTCAATTTTAAATAATAAAAGTAAAATTATTTTGTTGAACAATGATATAATGGTATAATATATAATGGCATAAATCACTATTAATATATTTTAAAATATTATTTTCACACAATTAAATTATAATCACATTAAACAATAAATTGCTTTAATAAATTATTGAATATAAAACCGATTTATATTAATGATATTTATTTATTTTTTAAATTTTGTTGTTAATAAATTGTTGACTGACTTTGAACAACGATCTGCCAACAAATTATAGAACAAAACAAATCTATTTGCTTTAACCCTTCTGTGGCATGCCAGTCACTTCAACACACGCGACATATGAATAAACTTCATTTTAATAATAAAAAACTAATTCGAAATAATAATTTAGCTCCAACAATCACTGAAGAATTGAATCTTTAAAATAACAAAAGCGGACTAACACTGAACAGCTGATTCCTTGATTTACCGAATCTGTATAGGAATCGTGTTTAACTGTCAAAACAATTTAAAAGTTGTCAATTATAATTTTTATTAAATTTTGCAAATATTTAATCTGATGACATTTATTACAAAAAAATAATGTTAAATATGTCATTTCCAATGTAAATAATATCACATTGTATATTATATTGCAGTTTTCAATGGATGAATTATTAATTAAATATTTTGTAGATTTTAACAATATTGACCAGATACTAACCAGTTGCGTTGACCAACTCAATACATTTCTTATATTGGCAATGGTCTCTGTCATGTGTGCAATGAGTGCTGCTCAGCTTCTTGCTTTGCGTATATTACCAATTTTGTTATTGAGTGATATAGTGATTACCTTGGAAAATAGTGGGTTCTTTCTTTTGGTTTCGAAAGAATAACTTTGGCAAATAGTCACTGCATGAGTGTTGTTATTGTTACAATTCATATTGAGAATTTAAACATCTGAGAAGACAATCACATTTCGGAGATGTTAACCCGACTTTCCTGAAAAAAAAACTGTAACTTTCCAATTGTATTTGCACTGACCAGTAATTTTTAACGTACCTCAAAAATTGTACCAAAAGATTCATCTACATGGACTTTGTTTAATTGCATTTTAAAATTGATGTGCGCTATGAGCTGAAAGTAGTCGCAATACCAAAACACATTTACCAGATAATACTACAAATCACATATACCTATGTACGAGTATCTATAGCTTGACTGAATACTAACAATAATTTTTTTGTAGCATTTAAATGCACTTAATAAAAAGCATAAAATTGGTCTTTAACTCTTAATAAGTCAAAAGTTTCATTACTATTATCTTAAAGGAAAACAAAATAGATTTTTTTTCTATATATATTTTAGTTCTTTATTATATCTTATTATTAAATAAGAACTCTTAATTAATTGAAGTAGTAATTTAACAGTGTCATGTAATTATATCAGTTTACAACTAAAGACGGTGATTGGAAGCAAAACCAGACATACTAGGACGGTAGGGTCACCGACCTCATATTAATTAAAGTAATAAACTTTAATTAATAAACTTTAATTAATATAATCTAAATACATTTTATACACATTTATTTCAATAGTAATCAATACTTATGTATATACTCCCATTTGCTAGTTTTATATAATCAATAAGTGGCCACTTCTAAAGATACAAGATATTTCAGAATTTAGAATAATATAATAACACATTTGTAAGTAATATCAAGATAAAAGTTTTAGGAAAAATATGTTTAATGCAAGTGTTCGACATCGACACTGCGACATCAATTCGCTGTACCCTCTTTATGCATACTGTCTATACCCTCTGTCTAAAAATAAAAAAATAAATATATATATATGATCAATTTATTTAAATAATAAAATTATACTTACATTCATACGATGATACAATGCCTAAATTGAATGTACATCAGTGATTCATATGTCCATAACGTATCCACTTTGTCATATTTCAAGTTAGTTATATTCTTAATTTAATTAAAATCATTATTACAAATAATCAATAAATAACTTTTAGTTATTGTATTTCAAATCATAATTTGAAATCATTCATTGATTATTGTTGCAGTATTTGCAACAGCCAAATTTATTTAGTTTATCGTTGGCTTAATGCAAACAACCAACGATATATTAGTTATGTTATGAATCGGCTTTTACAATAAATTACCGTAGTTTTTAATCACAATGGGGTCATAGATACTATATAAATCATTTAAGTAGGAGTAGCACTGGCTTCTATACCATTTTCCATGTGCTATCGATCAATAAAACCCATTAATTCGCAATATGTTTGGTTTACATAAATTCTTAGTTTCTATTTATTATTAAATCAAACTCTACACTATATGCACTTAAAAACAATAAGGCGACATATAAATGATTAGTGATTTAAATGGGAATTTAAAATCAATTTTCAAATATATACATATGTATAAATAATGGATAACACATTATGTATTATAATATAATATACAAAATTAATGTTAACATACATATAATATTCATAATTATTTACTTTCAATAACTATCAAATTGATTTAATTTAATTTTATATGTGATAATTATTATATTCAAATATAAAAGATTTAATTAAACTTAATTATATAAAAATGAGTACATATTATAAAATTTTTGTTATTATATACATTCAGTCTCAATACTAATTTATAATAGTCAGTAATATTTCGTAAAAAATTTAATTTAAAATAAAATTAAAATTATCTTTAAACATCAATTTTATTAAACTCAAATACTCTGGAACAAAATAGAAATTTTTAACTGATGCAGCGCAATCAGTGACATGACAAATGATTTGAGGGGGATGCAATGGATGCAATCAGCGACGAATGACAAATGATTTGTGAGAATACTGTGGTATTTCCTTGGCTTCGGAGAAGTTAGCCTTGTCAATACGTGACTTAGGGCTACCAGTTTCACGCAACCAAGTTTTCCTGTTAAAATTAAATTATAAAGCACATATTCTCTTATATTTAATTTTAATATATAATTTATTTTACGCACATTTGATTGATTTTTTCCAACGGTCCTTCAATTTCACCCTTGACTGTACCAGTAGTAGTGTTCATGCACCAACCATGTAGACCAAGTTTTTTAGCCTGAGCCTCTGTGTGCTGTAATTAATGATACATAATAAAAGTTAATATATATAAAATATCAATGGATAGTTTGCATATTTACAAAATTTTATTTTATATTAATAAAAGATTTAAGGATTAAAAAATTATTACTAACAAAATCAAGATATTAGTCTAGTATCAGCTAAGTTTGTACTAAACGTTAAAGTGTAAAAACCATGAGTTTGTGCCTCTACATTGAACAGTATAAATCGGCGCTCTCAGTTACCTACCCTTACATCTAGTTTAGTACCAGAAAGGAAAGAGATTTCTCAATGAGCAAATTCGACCTGTTTTGAATTATTGCAGTGTACATAGTGGTAAACTATTTTCAAAAATATTTAAATCAAGCAACAATTGCATAATAGAAACAAAACCAATTATATTCCAAATAAAAATATTACTAGGAGTGTAAGGGGACGGGTCACTTTTCACTTAACAATACGTCTCCACTGGCTTCATTAGACTAGTTAACTTGAGATAGAGATTTAATTCCTTGAAACTTAAGATTCAAGTAATTTAATTAATTTAAAGTAAGTTAACTAGTCTAACGAAGCCGGTGGAAACATACTATAAGAAACACTATTTAGTTAAATAATTAATTTTGTAAAACTGAGTATATAAACAATTGTAAAGATAATTGACGTCATAATGTAAAGTTCTACTGAAAGATAACATAGTTCTAGCAAACGAACGACCCAATGTTATGGTATACAATTTTATAACATATATATTTATATATATGTATAATATCTATATTTTATATATACAAAAAAAAGTATACAAACTGAATACATTTTTTTTCAAATATTAAATTAATGTAAAAGAAATCGCAAAAGGAATTTGATTATATTGAGGAAATTTGATTATAAAAGAAATTCCCTTAGGGCTATGTTGTGTAGACAGTCATATAATAAAATATCTTGGCGTTGTTACGCTTCTTCTGTTTATGATCATTAAAGCGTTTTACACAAAGTCAAACTGCAATTATCACTTTTTGGTTAAAACCGTAAAATATATGCACTTATAGGTGGTAAGCGTAACTAACCTGTCTTTTACACACAAGAAATTTTTTTATATTTATGTAATAAAGCGGTATGATTTAGCATTCGAATATAAAAAATTTTTCTTATATGTAATATAACATATTTTTACTAATATATTGTATATTTGAATTTTTTATTAATTTTATTGAAAGGCATGAATCGACTCACCAAAACTATTTTTGACGTTTAATTGAAATTTGCAATGAATAACATTTGTACATATTTGCACAATATAACTTTTTACTAATTAACATTTTTAACTTACCTTCCTGAAGAAAACACCTACAAATAAAAAATAGTTTTAGCAAAATTATTTCTTGCAAAATATGTATGCTTCACCTTACCTTGTACCTTACCAAAGACTTCAAAATCAGTGGCATAAAGTTTGGCCATAGCGGCACCAACTCTGCGATCCATTTCTAAATTTTTATCAATTTCGTCAACGACTGCACAATTCGAGTCAATAATATTGTGCAGGAGAAATATATTTATAAAAATTAATTTTAACAGACAATGTTTTGAATTCATATCGAAATTAAAATTTGTTTATGTTTACTATGACAGCAGCCGACAAATGAAAGTAAACTTCACTTACACATTCAAGCAATATTGGCAGGTTGTTGGCTGTCAGGTATGTTTGCTTGAATTATGCATGAACTTATATAGACAAGAGAAAACTATTTCAATTAAAGTATTTTCGCAATTGATTTGCTAATTGTGAATAATAAGTCGCGTTTGTCAAATAAAAGTTTTCAAGTTTTGAGTCAAAATAAAGATATTTGACTTTAATCAAGAAAATCTCTTGGAAAACA